CCCCCCGCCGCCACCGTGACCTGCTGTCCCAAAATGCAGGGCCAGCTCCACAAACCCGGCTCAGAAATCACTTTCTCACCAGGCCCAGGGCTTTGCAAAGTTGCTGTGTTTTCTGTATCATTTCCTTCCCTCCCCCCTCACTTCCTGTTTTTTCTTCCCCTTTCTCCGCCCCCACCCAGCTCTCGGCGGTCCGGCTGCCTGAGAGCAGGAACTAGCGCGGAGCGTTGATAATCACAATTTCCTGGCCGGCCGGCCGCTGTCTGCTGCTCCGGGCTGCAGCCAGGGCAGCAGGCTCCTCGGGGCACGTGAGCCCCGGCGGGGAGCGGGCAGGAAGCCGTGGCCTTCGGAGCCCGTCTGAAGGGGAACCTCATAAGAATGATCCTTCATGCCCCTGCAGCAACGCCCAGCTTCCAGAGAATATGCTCCTGCGTCCGAGCTAAAACACTGCAGAACTCCCGGTGTGCTGGCCGAGTAAATACAGTCAAGTTTAGATGGACACGGCCTGGATTGGGGAGCGAGATAGGAGTTTATTAATGATCCTGCCCCGTATTTTCTTTATGACTCTGCCGATCGTTCTAGATCTCTGAGGTTTGGTTCCCTAACCCTGTGGGAAAACGGAGTCAATGGTAGTTATGAGGACAGAGGAGGAAAATATATCTAGGAGAGTCACATGGTGTGCCTGGCAGATAGTATTTGCTTACCAAATGCAAGATCCCGTTTTTGGTTTTGGTTTTCTGCACAGAGAAATGGCTCTTCAGATGTCCAGTAGCCAGAAAAATTACCTAATCAAGGGTTCCCATGGGGGGAGAGTCCATGTCCGTTACTGTCTTCCTGAAACAGGGAGAGAAAGACAGAGAGACAGAGACAGAGGGACACACAGAGAGATGAGAGACAGAATGACAGGTACAGAGAGACCTACTGAGACCTCCCAGCTGGGTGCAAACATGCCCATCCCTGGAAAACAAAGCCGCCCCTCACTGGGCTCATGGGTCATGCTGTTTTCCGTAGCAATATTTTTCTAAGGGAAACAGGGACAGCCATCCCAACCACATGCTTGAGGTGGACTGTTTTACTAATTTAGCTCCCAGGGGTAAAACTGCAAAAATGACAAAAACAGTAATCTGGAAAACATGCCGCCTCCCTTTTAGAAAATCTTAAAAAAGACAAAAACCGAGAAAAAGAAAAAGGAAGACTTCCCATCCAGGGTCAATGGCCAGTGAGTGGTTTGAGAAGTCAGCCAAACCATGTGGCTGCCTTTTAAAAAATTCCAAAGAGACACGTTCACATCTGGATCCCTCTTCCAAGTTGCCAAACCTTGAGTGAGGCTCTTTCTTCTCTGAGCCTCAATTTCCTCCACCGCAAAACGAAAGCCTGAGACGAGGTTATCACATGGGTTTCTTTCAGCCCTGGGAACCTGTGATCCTAGGACTCTCTCCTCTCCTTAAAAAAAAAAGTATTGTTATTAGAGGAGAACAGGAAACGGCCTCTCGTAGTAACATGACTTGCATTCCTTTTAGCAGATTATCACTCACTTAAGGACAGAGGAACCGCAGGACGCAAGGGGGCCACAGCCCTGATTTGGGGAGCCAGACTTGTCTCGGCCTGACGGCTGCTCAGCTGGTTCGCTCCATCAGCCTGGATTGGTGAACCCGAGTCGCAAGAGCTATCTCCAGGTAAGACACAGCGGGCTTAGGTGGTAGCCGGCTGCACAGCCATAGCCAGCACTTCCAGGGGCGGGCATGGGTGATATTCACGCTTACAGAGCATGGGAAAGGATTACGGACGAATGTCATTTCGCCAGATCTGTCATCTGTGATTGGAAGCTGTGCCCCCTGACACCACATACGTGCAAAAGGAAAAACCAAAACCAAACAAGGACCTAGTTAAGAACTGATGTGCCCTGCAGGGTTACTGCAGTGTTGAGGTCTCCGACGGGCCCTGGTTCTATAAGTACGTGCTGAGCGGGAGCTGTCTTGAGACTTTTGAGTGTTTGGGCAGGAGGTAGAGCAGCTTAGGACTGCGTGCAGGAGGACAGCGTATCTGAGCTGCTTTAGGGTGCTTTGTTCTTGCAGCACCCGTTTTGGATCAAGCACATTGGGGTTCCTTTCTGCCCATCCAGATTTAGCCCAGCAGGGGGAGAAGTCCTTCAGGAGCCAACCTGGGAGGGAATTCAGGTCTTGTGCAGAGGTCCGGCTGGCACCTCGCTCACTATAACAACGTCAGAGACGGATTCAGCTCATGACCTTGCCATCCGAGAGCACGAACGGCAGGGCGCCCTTCCCCTCGCGCTCTTCCCTCGCCGCCAACGCGCTGGCTCTCTGTTACCTCCCACCTCTCCTCGCAGTCCGTTACGGACACTTTTCTTATCTACAAAGAGAGGATCACATCTGCTTGGACATCTTCGTTGAACTTGGACCTGACATGAGCCGACATTCCTTTCTGATGACGAAAGACCTACTGAGGGTTCGCTCCTGGACTCTGTTGTATTAACACACCTCCCCTAAGCTGGCCCGGGGACCCACCTACCAGATCAGGAATCGCTAAGGAGGTGCCGATACGCCGAGCTGGCCACATACCTGTCACCCTTCACTAGTTGCTGGTGTCACCGTCTGCCATCCTCCCTCCTAAAGTTCTTCTTTTTCGTCTAGATATCTTGCGTTTCCTTGAAAACTAAAACCAGAGCATTTTATACGGCCGAGCACAGTATAGGAGGTAAGACCAGGTGATTTCTAAGGTATTTTCCAATCCCGCGGCCCCAGTGTCACTTTATGCCTCGTTCCTCATACCAGATTCTCATCTGCTGGGAACGAGGGTCACCTTCTGCCCCTTTTTCTTTCTACGGTTTCTCTTCCCCGCGTGGTTCCCTGAGCAACAGCCTGATTCAGAAGGAGGTGGGTTTCGGAATTAGACCTCACTTCAAATCTCACTTCCGCTATTTATTGGTTGAGTGGTTTTGCCTACATCATTTTAAATTCCCGACGTTCTGCTTCGGCACCTGTGGGATGGGGACAGTACATTCTAATGTGTAGGCTTGTGGTGAGAATCGAAGGACATAAAGCGTTAGTGTAGTTTCTTGCTTGTATTAGCCCTCAAAAAAGTTAGCTTCTCTCCCTGTCCAGCCTTATTTAGAGCCACTGAAATATAGCTTGTGCACACGGCCTTGTGTACGCACACTGTAAGTCCCAACCAGTTACAGAGGAGAGAGCTGTTAACAGGCTTTTGATTCCAGAGCTTGTCTTCAGCAGCGGCCCTCCCTCGCCTGGGCTCCGGCCAGAGCGCCCTCTGCGGCCCAGCCATCGGGAAGGCTCGCTCTGTTCTGTCCAACTTTAGGGCCCACTCCTCGCCCAGCGCCTTGACTCCATCCTGTGTCACATGAGGTGTCAGGTGAAAACTGCCTCCCAGCAGCTCTTTTTCCTTTAGACCCGCATAGTCTCAAGATGCAGGGGAATATCCTGGCAGCTGGGATCAGTGAAGCCAGGGGCAGGCATCCTGGCCGGGCACTCAGTAAGAGTTTGCTTCAAGCGCATGTTCATCCAGGGCCACGACAATGCCTTTCTCCCTTGTCTGTTAGTTCTGCGGGGCATCCATCCATCCATTCCACAAACGTTTATGGAGCACGGGGCACGCTGCAGGTGTCCTTCTCAGTGTTAGGGGTACGGCAGGGAACAAAACCAAGTTCCTGCTCTCATGGAGCTTGCATTCTAGTCGGGTCGAGGGACTGTCAACAGGGGACATTGGATATTATATCAGGCAGTATTTAGTGTTATGTGAAAAACTAAATATATCCAAGCCAGAGAGCTAGGAAGTTGGGAGAACAGGCATCACTATTGTGCAGGGTCCCAGGGAGGGCTTCCCTGGTCTGGACCTGAGGAGAGGGAGGGAGGGAGGCGTCTCAAAGGCCTCATCCCTAAAGCATCTTAGGTAGAAATAAGGGTGGGTGCTCTTGCCTAGTAGAGATTTAGCCATTCACTCAAACTCCTGTCCTGGGCACTAGTTCCTGAGACCCTGGAGATGAAAGAGACTCAGTGGCGTCCAAGGGGCCCGTGGACTGGCGCTCGGCCAAGGCCGCCTGGGGAAGTTGCATCAGTAAATTAGGTTGAAGTGAGCAGCTGTCCTCATTTGGTCGTTGTGGAGCCAATTTGCTAGAGTGGGAATTTTCCACTGGAACCTCCCACAGGTCACTTCTACCAGTTCTCTTGGAATTCGTTCACCTAGACCATTGCCAAGTCCTGGCTTCAGGGGAGAGGGAGGATCAGTTCATTCCCCAAGCATCTGATTCCCTATTGTGCGTCAGCGCCAGTGCTGGACACCAGGGGTCAGTGGTGATGACATTCAGCCGGCCCTCGAGTTGTCTGTGGTTTTACTGGGAGACCTACTAGTGACTAGTCTGTGGTTTTACTGGGAGACCAACACACGCTCACCAGTGTTGTATAAGAGTGGGTGTGAGAGAGCCCAGAGGAGGGGACCCCAACCCACATGGAGAGGCAGAACCAGGGACGCTCCCTGGAGATGTGCTGTCTCTACTCAGTCCTGGAGATGAGGGGTCACCAGGCAGGTGAATGGCAGGGAGGGTGAGACACTTTGGGGGATGGGGGAAGGAGTTCCCAGGCAGAGGGGAAGCCTACGCAAGGGATGCCCCCGGAGGAATGCAGCACCATTCGCTGCAGCTGTGGAATGAGATGTGAGGTGACCCTGAGAGACGGGGGGACTCAGGCAGAGTGAGAAGCTGGAACCTTGAATGCCAGGCCAAGAGGGTTGGGTCTGTCCTGAGGACAGCTCAGAGCTGTGAACAGTTCTTTAAGCAAAGATCCATGACCTGATAAGATGGGAGTTTTATGCAGAGAAAGGTTTAATTTTCTTTGACCCCCAGTTCTTTAAAGTGCTTATTTTACACCCATTCCGTGTACTAAGACCACAGCTTCCTCAGCAGTAGGTTCATACAGATGGACTGAATGGGATGTCTGTCAGCAGTGAGTGGATCTCAGGCATGTCTACCGTCGTGTGCCCCCATGAATGATAAATGTGGACGGAGTTTCACGTGCAGTCTCGGTACACAAATTGCTAGGAAATGGTTGGAACATGAGCCTTGTTTCTGATAGGAGCGAGTGACTGACCAAAGCCCATGCTGTTCTAGCAGAGACCGTGGAATTCAGGTCTTGATACATATTCTCTTTGTCAGAAAATGAATTGGTAATATCCACCTCTAACCTTCTCTCTGTTGAATACTAAGTGTTCCCTTTAGATATGTATGAATTCATTAAATAGGTAATACCTGACCACCTCCCATGTGCTGAACACTGTGCTAGGCCTTGAAACATCAAGGCAAATCAAACACGGTCAGCCCCTCAAGGAGTTCATTAGCTTTTGGGGAGGGGAAGGAGCCAAAGTCACAGGAGCAGAGAGTAAGAGTTTCCGCATGAACAAAGTGATGTGGTTACAGAGAAGGAACAGTCTGCCCAGGGAAGTCAGCGAAGGCTTCCAAGAGGGGCCATATGCGCTGGGCATTGGAGGATGAGTAGGAGTTGGGATCTGGGAGAGAGTTGCTCCTAGTACTCAAAAGCACTCTATAAATAAGGGCCAGCTCTCCATTCTCTGTGATGGTGGCCGGGAGGAAATAGAGTGATTGTCATGCACAGGTAATGCCTCAACTCTGCCTTTTAAAAATCCATTAGCAGCCACCCCCTCATGCTCCCACCACGTTCCCAGTGGGGACTAAAAATAACTAAACTGACTAATACAAGTTGATCTCTTCTCTGACCCCATGGAGGTGTGAATGAGCAAAATCGGACCAAGGGGACCAAGAAAAGATGTAGAGAGAAGAAGACGAGGAATCCACCTCCATCAGCCCCAAACACTGGCTCGGCAGCATATTGCACCAGAGCTCTCTGGTGGCAGAATTCAGCTTTTCAGAGAATTCCCGTCTGCTTCTGCCCAGTGAAAACTGCGAGATTTTTATTTATTTATTCATTTTAATATGTCTTTATTGGTTTTAGAAAGAGAGGAAGGGAGAGGGATAGAGAGAAACGTTGATCTCTGTCTCCTGCACGCCCCCTACTGGGGGTCGTGCCCACAACCCAGGCATGTGCCCTGACCCGGAATCGAACCGGGGACCTCCCAGTGCATGGGGCGCTCAGCCAACTGAGCCACACTGCAAGATATTTTTAAAAACTATGTCTGTTCTTCTACCTTCCTCTTGGAAAAAAATGTACCAAATATTGTGCATGGGAGTGGACTTTAGGGGAGGTTTGTGTAATTGCGGGCATCCTGACCCGCTGTGTTGTAGTCAGGAACGCAGACTGAGCCACACTGCCGGGCCCAGTCCTCCCCTGCTGCATACCAGCTGGTGAGCTCAGCAGTCGGCACACCTCCCATTCCCCAGTTTCCTCGTGTGTAAAACGAGGTTGGTAGAGCCTGCCACACAGGCTGCTCTGATCTTTGAATGAGTCAATATGTGCAAGCGCCCGGCTGGTGCCTAGGACACAGAACGGACACAGTAAGTGTTAGCTCTTTTTATTTTGACCTAAAGCCTCGGTTGAATCTTCTATTACAAATCAGTTTCTGGGATGTGTTGTGAGTTGAATCATTTCAGGGCTGTTTGCTAAGCATCTCCTGTGTGTGGAACTAGTCTCAGACGGTGAAGGGTCAAAGCTGGAGTCAGCAACACTGAGAAACACAGGCGTGACCAGTGTGTGACACCATTAGAACAACCGAAGCATTTTAGGGGACCAGAGGCTTCTAGAGGAGCTGGGAGGCCCAGAGTGGGGGTGGTGCAGAAGGGGATGGAGGCAGGAGGGGGGCACACGGAAGGTTGAGAGAAGGTGGAGAGGTTGACTAAGGATGACTTAGGGATAGGGGTGCCGTTCTGAATGGGGAAGCAGGAGAATAGCAAAGGAGAGAGGAATTGCTGAATGGTGATTTTTTGGTTTTGGTGCAGAAGGTAAGCTCTGCTTTAAACCTTTTTGGTGTGAAATACCTGCGGGCACCAGGTGGAGACTCCTCCACTTGGCCCAGCTCTGGCATCAGGGGAGGAAGAGGAATCAGAACGTGGACATGGAGGCCCCCGCCGTCAGGACAGAGCTGTTCCCGGGGAGCGAGCACAGGCCCCTCTGTGTGCCGCCTGCAAGCCTGGCCCAGCCTCGGCCCCTTGAAGGCCTCACAAAGACTTGTTTGTTTCTCCTGACATCAGACTCACCCTCAGGATTTCTCTGTCCTTCTGGGGCAAGATCTCACAGAGTGATAATAGGGTGAAGGGAGGGAGGAATCGAGTGAAGGCTAGCTCAGGCGTCACCATGCCAACCGGAGCGGACAACAGGAAGATGGTGCTTTCCATGGGTGCGTGCACGCTGGGGACAGTCCCAGGCTGCTGAGCTTCTGGTTAGAAGCTGCTGGTATCCACTCCGAGAGATGCTAGCTGTCTGGTCAGTAATGAACAGTGTATCAGAGGATGACATTAAGTCACTCCTGCATACAATGGGTTGATTGTTTAAGTAAGCAAGTATTGCATTTAAGCACCTGGATTTTCTATTTTAGCAAAGACTTATAGAGAGAGTTTTGTCTTGGAAATTTCACAAAAGCTCACTGCTTAGAGAGATCTGTGAGATCGTCTGGTCCAGCTTCTGTCTGGTCCTTTTTTCAGGTGAGTATACCGAGGCTGGGAGAGAGGGAGTGGTGGAAATGGAAAAAGTGAAGACTTTATAGCCATATAACCCCGG